AACCTCATCATCCGGTTCCTCAGGGGTGCTTGGTGAATTAATCCATCCCGCCCACCTCTCATGCCCTCTTGGGATCTTGCCCTCGTTCTCACGAGTTACGGGCAGATCCCTTTGAGCCACTCGATTCAGTATCTTTAAGATTTCTGTCCCTGAAGACAGCTCTGCTGGTCGCGTTGGCCTCCATCAAGAGGGTCGGGGACATGGAGGCAGTTTCGGTCAGTGATTCGTGCCTGGAATTCGGGCCGGACTACTCTCACGTTATCCTGAGACCCCGTCCGGGTTATGTGCCCAAGGTTTCTACCACCCCCTTTAGAGATCAGGTAGTGAATCTGCAAGCGCTGCCCCGGGAGGAGGCAGACCCAGCCCTTTCCTTACTTTTCCAGTTCGCGCCCTGCGCATTATGTGGACCGTACTCAGAACTTTAGATCATCTGAGCAGCTCTTGTCTGTTATGGCGGTCGGCAGCAGGGAAGTGCCGTATCAAAACAAAGATTTTCCCACTGGATTGTGGATGCCATTTCACTCGCTTATTCGAGCAGAGGTGCGTGTCCCCCGGGAGTGCGTGCACACTCCACTCGGAGTATTGCATCCTCTTGGGCGCGTGCACACGGCGCCTCTCTAACAGACATTTGTAGAGCTGCGGGCTGGGCGACACCCAACTCATTTGCAAGGTTTTACAATCTGCGAGTGGAGCCGGTTTCCTCAAGGGTATTAGGTAACCCTTGGTGATTGAGGAAACAACTCGGTAGGGTGTTGAAACACGCTTGCTGCGCCATTCTCCCTAACACGGAGGTACGTGCACCTTTTTATCTGTCAGTAAAGTTCCCCGTCAGGTGAGCTCTGCAGATTCCTCTGTGGCCCCCAGCACTGACTCAACGGAGGAGTCACCTGCTGGCCCACTACGTTGTAGGTCTGCTCGATGGTCAGCCCGCGTTTTGGGTATAGGTGCCTGCTATGCGTGATCCCCAAAAGGCGATCCCATATGCTTATTCCGCCATGGATAAGTCCCCCCCGGGTGGACCCGTGTCTTCCCTCTTCGCTAACCACTTTTTCCTATGCGTACTCCCCCTTCTTAGGGCTAGTCCATATATAATTCTGCCGTCTATCCCCCCTTGGGTAGCGGATGGCCCCCGCAGCGTCCTCCGTATCGGGATTGCACGCTTCCCAACGTACTGTCGTATTTTCCTAGAAATATCTAGATGCTCACGACTTCCCAAAAAATATATCTAAATCCGTAAAACGTCTGTTGAAGTAGGATAAATTAGGGCCAGGGACACGTTGGAGGACCGCGCCTCCCATGATGTTGGTGCGTCACGCATGCTTGACTATCCCCTCATCGGGGGCGTTGGTAAGGTGCAGTCATTATGGCGCTTTCCATAGTTCTCCCATACTAGGATTTTAACATCAAATCCACTGTATAGCACTGAAGTTCCCCAACCGAAGGGGAACGTTCGAGGTTACAGAAGTAACCCTTCGTTCCCAGAGGAGGGGAACGGAAGTGCTATACTCCGTCGCCATAATGACTGTCCCTTAGCTGTTTGAAAGTCTCTTCAGCTTAAAAGGATGGCGTTTGCTCGCTCCATGTGTGCTTATATGCTGGGATAAATGGCAATGAAGCCCACCTGTGCAAGCTTACGCTGCCAAATCATTTCATTCATTGGCCCGTTCAATAATCTTTCAGACAAGCGGCTTCTGAACCGAAACCTCCCATACGTGGATTTTCAAATCGAATCCACTGTATAGCACTTCCATTCCCCTCCTCATAGAACGAAGGGTTACTTCTGTAACCTCGAACGTTCTTATTTTTGGTGTGGTTAGAGATACATTTGGTAAATCCTTCATTTTGAGCCCTGAAAAGTCCTGTGAAATAAAAATGAATTGCAATGCGACACCATGAACCACAACCCATTTGCTCATGCAAATTAAGCAAGTTCATACACAAAAAAAGTTAAATTATTGAGGTGTGTGGACATAACACAAAGTCTAAATCAAGTAATTTTAGCATGTCAAAGTCATATTTATGTGTATAAAATATATTTTGCCAACAACAAAATTGTGGCTAGTGAAAATGGTTAATAGCTAGTAACGTTGGAAATCTACTAGCCACAGTGGCTGGTGATTAAAAAAGTTAATGTCAAGCCCTATATATATATATATATATATATATATATATATATATATATATATATATATATATATATATATATATATATATATATATATATATATATATATTCATTCATTCATTTTCTTGTCGGCTAAGTCCCTTTATTAATCCCACCACAGCAGAATGAACCGCCAACTTATCCAGCACATTTTTACACAGCAGATGCCCTTACAGCCACAACCCATCTCTGGGAAACATCCACACACACTCATTCACACACATACATATACACTACGGACAATTTAGCCTACCCATTTCATCTATACCTCATGTCTCTGGACTGTGGGGTAAAACGGAGCACCCGGAGGAAATATTTTGCTAATATATGAATGAAAAATAGATTTATATATATATATATATATATATATATATATATATATATATATATATATATATATATATATATATATATATATTTTTTTTTTTTTTTAATCACAAAATGCAAAACAATTTAAATGTTTTTTTTTTTTACCTGTATTGAACTTGCTTCGATTTTTTATGTATGCAATTTCCATAATTATTCCCATAATTTTACGTATGCAATAGTTTTATATTAGTTTATATTGAATTCTATGCAATGAAAATGCAAACACTGCACAATATTTGTTAATATATAAATGGAAAATAGGAAACTCTACTGACTGGCTTTTCCCCCGTAGAATTTCAAAGTATTCACATTGCAGATCTTGATGGTCAATTCGGATTTTGTGGCATTATCCGATTTTTTTTTTTTTTGATGACCTGCTTACATTTATCATATTTTAAAGGTGACTCGTATATGATTGTTCGCATTTACACACGGCAAAAGGCGCAATGGCCAGGAAAAAACAGAGCGGGCGCTGACTAACAGCTGATAACAAAAGAGCGCTCTTTTCTCCATACCTGTGTTTATTGTGTTCGCATGGTTTAATTTTTTTATTTTCTCTTTTACAAGTTGTTTTCCTATAGTTTATGACAGAAATGCTCTCATTTGGCCATATTCTTTTTATCTAGGCCTTTTTAAGCCAGTAGGCATCTTGATGTAATGGTGGTGAGTGTTGCGCTCTCTTTCTCTCTCGTTAACATACAAAAAATACTTGCCAGGTGTATGCAAAGCACTTGATTTGCAGTTCAAATTCAATCCTGCTTCCAATCTTCAATGCTAATTTTACCCTCACGCTCCATCATGCCAACATTTCAACTCACAAGACAACTTTTTACCTCAATAAAAAATCAGTTTTAATCTCGCGAGATCTCGTGACACCCTTAAAATCAAGAGTTAATTTTAAGGTATCTCGCGGCCCACCTGCAGGATTGCTGAGGCCCACTAGTGGGCAGCGGCCCACCGGTTGAGAATCCCTGCACTAGAGTGTTAAGTTGTGAGGTGAGATGGAGCTTAATTTTAAGTGAATTTACAAAAAAAATTATAATAAAGTACAGCAAATTATTATTGTATAATAATTATTAATTAAAAATAATTAAAATTGAATTAAGATAAACAACTTACATTTAAACTGCTGAAGTAATGTTTTAATATTTTTAATGACAGGCTGCAGCAGATTTAATAGTAAGCTTTCATTTTAAATGTGCAGGAATAGTTACTGCATTTCTGCCAGACGCCCTTTGTCTTCTCAGATGAAACCACACTAAAATAAGGCACAATGGCAAAACAGTCAATTTAAAGTCCTGTTGGTTTAAATTTTCACTTTGTGTTCGTGAAAATTTTGTAGATTGTAATGTTCATGCAACGTTATTCCATTAAAGTCAACCCGATAAAAGATACATACATACATGGAAACATACTGTACAAAGGCAATCAGACTGTTTTGCCATTATGCCTCATCTATGTGTGGTTTAATTTGAGAAGTGAAAGGGGGTCTGGCAGAAATGATTAAACAAAACACACATATACAGTTGAAGTCAGAATTATTAGCCCCCCTGTTTATTTTTTCCCCAAATTCTGTTTAACAGAGCGAAGATTTTTTCAACACATTTCTAAACATAATAGTTTTAATAATTCATTTCTATTAACTGATTTATTTAATCTTTGCATGATAAAAGTAAATAATATTTGACTAGATATTTTTCAAGACACTTCTATACAGCTTAAAGTAATATTTAAAGGCTTAACTAAGTTAATTAGATTAATTAAGCAGGTTAGGGTAATCAGGCAAGTTATTGTATAACAATGGTTTGTTCTATAGACAATTGAAAAATAAAATGATTAAAGGGGCTAATAATTTTTACCTTGAGATGTTTTTTTTTATTTTTTTTTAATAAAACAGCTTTTATTCTAACTCTCTCGAGAAGAAAAAATATTATCAGAAATAATGTAAAAATTTACTTTCTCTGCTAAACATAATTTAGAAATTATTTTAAAAAAGAAAAAATAATTTAATGGGGGGCTAATAATTCTGACTTTAACTGTATATGTACATGAATTCTAAAGTTATGTTTAAAAGACCAAGGATATTTTCACAGTATTTCCTATAATTGTATTTATTCTGAAGAAAGTCTTCTTTATTTTAGTTTGGCTGGAGTAAAAACAGTTTATATAATATAATATAATAAATATGTCAATATAATTAGTCCTTTAGGAATTTTAGTCTACAGTCTACAGAAGAAACCACGATGGCTTTCCTACGTTTTCTTTAACATAACCTAGCTTAGTCTTTAAATTGCGCTTTAGGCTGAATACTATTATCTTGCTAAATAACTAGTAAAATAATGTGTTAGTGATATAATATAATATAATATAATATAATATAATATAATATAATCAAAATATATCATTATGGCAAAAACTAGAGAAAACATGTCATTGTCATGATCAAAACTAAATACTCAAGACAACATTTTATTAGACCTCATAGTTTAATTATTCCAGAGGTTCAAATAACCAGAATTCAAATAACAAAACACTGACTTGTACATCAAGGGTTTATTTAAAGATTTGAATATTTTAAAAAAGAACAAATTCTTCATTTTGAGATGAACACCCAGTAAAAAGCCACACATAGTTCCAGCCTTCACGTCATCCCAAATAAACTGAGTGGATCTGGCTCAGCATTCACCCTTTTTGGAGATTAATATGATGTTGAGCTTTTCCTTACTGCAACAAGATGATCAATTTAAAGAGAACATTAAAACAAGCAGATAAACCAAACATTACAAACTTGAATTACATGTAGGTCTACTTACAAAATAGTCGCACACAGCACGCACTCGTTTGGGTACGTAATTCCATCTGTACCACATACAGGCCTATATTCCCTGTTGCAGATGGGCAGTTGCTGGGGGTATTGACTGCAGTTTGGCTGTAAATAAATGCACATACAAATAGCTGGTAAAAGATGGATAAAAAAATATAGAGAGCATAAGGATATATTGCTCAACTTACCACTGAAGGACAATCATCAGCTGCTGTTGCCATGGCTGTTTATAACAACATAGATGCACAAATCAATTATTAAAGTGTTTTCTACACAACTATTAGTAATGAATAAACATAAAAACATTATTTTGATACAAAACATCGTGGAAACATCCAAATTTGATGTTCCTTAATTGTCAAAATTAGTTTCCAAACTCACCAGCCAAAGAAAGTAGAAGAACAATCTGCGCCAGCATAGTTGTTTGTTTACAGCGACGTGTTGACAAAGTAATTAATCACTTTCAGAGGTGGTGAGTTCCTTTTATTGAACTTTATTTCCCATCCACTGAGCGGAGTTGTGTAATATTCAGTTCTTGTGAAAAACTTCCAATGGGTGGAGTTATGTGAATGTTCACAAATTTGAGAATACATATATTTTCATATATTTTAATGGATTTTAATCCTTTCAAATTCATTGTTGGTTACTATATCCAAACTTTTACAAAAAATGACTGATGTATAAAATATATCTAATTATGTTCAAATAAATCTTTTTAGATGTTCGCTGTTGTTACAATGCATTTTTTCAATTTCAGTTTAAATCACTCTTAAACTTTAGTTGAGAACTATTGAATGTTGTAACAGGCCATCGTGAACATTAAGCTGAATATTTTGACATGGTTTTATAAAAGCAAGAATTTAATGTACAAAGGCTTTATCTTACTGTCTGCCTGCATTAAACAAATCAGCTCCTGTGTATTCAATTAAAAATAGGTGAAACAAGAAAACAACAAGAAGAACAAAAGTACACTTTTGAATTTTCAGACACGGCGAGTGTTTTTTCTCTTAACCATTTGTGAATTTTATTAATAAACTAATTTCGAGAGGATCACGTGCTTATGATTGCTTGCAGCCGGCCCCGGGTTATTCAATTTATGATTCACCAATCAGACGATTCTTAAGCTACATTAAATACCCTAAGTTCCACATAACAGCCATCTTCATTTTAAAGAATCTCCCTTCCACCCCTACTCCTCCTTTCCTAGATGGGTGGGACAGTGGCCCAGTGGTTAGCATTGTTGCCTCACAGCAAGAACGTCACTTGTTCTAGACCTTACCAAGCCAGCCAACGTTTCTGTGCGGAGTTTACCCGTTCTCTCCATGCTCAAATGGGTTCCCCCGGGTTTCCCTGTTACCTCCCTCCATTCAAAAACATGCAACTTAGGTTAATTGACTAATTCAAATTGGCACTATAGACATGCTCTCTTAAGAGCAATCACTATCTGTTCATTAACTACTACAGCAGGGGAGTTATTGAGATCTACCTGAGCTAAAACTTCCCTCTCGCCTTGCAAACGGGAGGGAGCCCTGGGCTCAAGGATCTTATGAGCTCAGGGCTCTCTCCCGGGACAACATGCCAAACAAGCTTTATAATCAATCATCAGTGAAGTGTGAAGTCTTGAAAAAAATGTTTTGATTTAGCTTTGTTTTCTGTTTATTCATTGTGCATGTACTGTATTGTCAATCTCAATTTAAGTAAAAGAATCAAGGTGACAATCACATTAATGTATTGGTGAAATTAATGTGTCAGTTTGTCATTCTACAAAACATTCCATTTGTCTTTCTCTAGACATAACAGAAATATTTTCAAATTCTTTATATTTCGAATTGTGACAAGATGTTACTTAAACAATGACACCTTTTGAGTCATGAATGTGGCAATATTTGTTGTTTAATTACTTTTGTAAAATTTCAAACACCATAAAACTGCTTGTCCCCACAGCCATATACTGAAGGAAAGTGCTTTAACTTGAGGGAAACAAAAAGAGAGATTTTTCTGTCATTCAAAATACAACTTATGTATTCATAACAATCATTGTGAATGATATAAAAAGTAATAGTAGTCTCCTGGAGTGCTACCTATTAACAAAAAAATCTATTTTGAAACATACACTACATATGACAAAACTTGACATTTTTCATTCCATTTCCTGCTGCTTTTGACATCCATGGTGTGATCTCCTTTATTGGGAACAGTAAAAAAATGGATATAAATGAACTAATACTTTACTATAAAAAAATCTGTAAAATGGTGAAAAACCAGCTGCTCTTGTTGCCAGAACTTAACCTTTAAATATCCACTAATACTTAAACTAATTTTCTAAATGTTGAGGTAAAATACCGTATTTCTATAATTTATAGTATTATACATCAGTGTTTTGAAGTATGAAAGTCTACACATCACACATTTATTTATTAAAAAACATAGTAATGTCAACAAAAAGGCATAAAAACAAGTGTCATGCTGGGAATTCTGAGAAAGTCAGTTTACAATTATTACTCGCACTTATCAGGGAAACATGCTTTTAACCAAGTTACAATATTTACTGTAGCATGGTTTTTTTGCAGTTAAAATTGCAGTCATTTTTATAGTGTATATCAAGATCGCCAACATGTGGTTTGATACCTCGCAACAGACATTTTGTAACATTTTTTCTAAAATTGTCACTGGTGTTCCTTTTCCTTATTTTCCTTAGGGGTAACACCACTGATCATCATTATGTTACTCACTGTTGCTCCATTTTGTCACTGATGTTACTGTGCTATTAACCCTTTTGTGCTGTTGGGGATGCTTTTTTATTCATTCTGGAGAGATTTTGAGTCTTAGTTTGGCCATAACATTTTCTGTGTTTCAGCTAGCGAAATGATTTTTGGTGACATATTTATTAAACATGTTAAACATATTTTGGGAAAATTCTTTGAAATAAATAAAAAAATAAAACTCAACAATACACTTTGGACAAATTCACTACCTTTTCGTTATTTTCCAATTGAAAACATGTTGTAAAATGCATCAGATAAATATTTATAACTTGTTTTTGGCATAAATTTGTCAGTCCTGATCAAAACAATATATATTTTTTTAAATGGCAGGATTTTAACTCTTTAATTCATAAATGAGGTCACTGATTTGGTGGGGGGGGGGGGGGGGGGGGGGGGGCTAACAAAATGACTAATGACAAATGACAAAATGACTTATCATCAATATAAAAAGTATTGTAGACTGAATTGTGCTGCCAACTGATGATCAACAGAAAATGAATGAATGAATGAATCTTGAATAAAAATTACTAATTTTAGCTACAATTTTCAATTTTAATTCAAGATTCATTCATTCATTTTCTTTTTGGCTTAGTTACTTTATTAATCTGGGGTCACCACAGCGGAATCACTCAATTTATCCAGCATATGTTTTATGCAGTGGATGACCCTCCATCTGCAACAAATCACTGGGAAACATCCATACACACCCATTCACACATATACTGTACTCACTGTGCCACCGGGATGCCCTACTCAAGATAAAAAAAAAAATTTTGTTTTTTTTTTATCAAGAGTGCAAAATTTTATGGTGTCATGGTTTTGCAATTAAAAAATGTGGTTATAATGGAAGTCGATTGGGCAAAAACAGCCACAAAAAGTAAATTTGAGATTTTTTTTTTTAATCTTATGTTGCCCAAAAACTAACAATGCATCTAAGGCAATATTGTTACTAATCTTTTACATGTCAAAGACTGTGATAAAAGGTGAAAAAAAATCCAGTCCACAATTACCTTTTACATTGAAAAGTTTTATACTGCATTTTGACATCAGTTTATTTTAGTGGATGTTTTCATCTCAAACACAATGAAAGGGTAGTAAATTTGAACACTCTACAAGGGTTATATATATATATATATATATATATATATATATATATATATATATATATATATATATATATATATATAAATAACGGTAATATTGCCAGAAAGTAGGGAAGGTTATCTTTGTTCTCTTGTTTTCAGAAGTCAAAGGGTAATTTAATGACGTTGTCTAAATTTAAATGTTGGAAAAATGTTGCCATATCAAACGAGAACCTTTATGTAGAATCACTCTTCCATATGCTGATAGAAGATAATATTACATAAAGCCTATAATATGCCTGCTGGTTCGAGCCTCAGCTGGGTCAGTTGGCATTTCTATGTGGAGTTTGCATGTTCTCCCTGCGTTCGCGTGGGATCCTCTGGGTGCTCCGGTTTCCCCCACAGAACAAATACATGTGGTACAGGTAAATTGGGTAGGCTAAATTGTTCGTAGTGTATGAGTGTGAATGAGTGTGTGTGGATGTTTTCCAGAGATAGGTTGCAGCTGGAAGGGCATCCGCTACGTAAAAACGTGCTGGAGAAGTTGAATAAAACATTCGGGTGTTTTTACTCTCGAGACGTGTACAGCTGAATCCAATCAGCTAGTGCTCTGGGTGTCCAGCTGAACCCAATCAGCTAGTGCTCTGGGGAGTATATAAGCAGCTAATCTCACCGTGGCAGCGGTCACGGCAGCCTCGTGTGAACACCAACGAGTGTAAAGACCATCAACTCTACCTGTGAGACTTCACCAAGCAAAGAAACCGACAAAGCACTTGAGTACTTTACTTTTTTTATTTCATTTTACTTTGTCTTTGCACTTATTATTGTTTTCATTTTGCACTTTTATTATGTGTTTACTCATTTCTGTTGTTAGTAACACTCGCAAAACACGTGAGGTACGCTCTATGCGTAATCCTCACAACCTTCATTCAGTATCTGCTATTTCACAATTCTCTCTCTTCGTGGGCCTCTGGAATTTTCAATCTGCTGTGAGCAAGGCAGATCTTATTACCTCCATAGCTACACATTCTAACTATAATCTCATGGCTCTAACTGAGACCTGGTTGAGACCAGAGGACACTGCTACACATGCAGCTCTCTCTGCTAATTTCTATTTTTCCCACACTCCTCGCCAGACAGAGAGAAGGGGTGGGACTGGACTACTAATTTCCAGAGCATGGACATTTACTCAGAGACCGTCCCTGACAAAGATCAGCTCCTTTGAATTCCATGCAGTCACCATTATCCACCCCTTCTACATAAATGTGGTTGTCATCTACCGCCCACCTGGTACATTAGGTCACTTCTTAGATGAACTGAATGTTCTTCTCTCATCTTTTTCTGTTTATGACACTCCCTTGTTGGTGCTAGGTGACTTTAACATCCACATTGAAAGACCAGTAGCTAATGACTTCCTGACTATGCTTGCCTGACCAAACACTAGTAACTCCACTACACAAATCGGATCATTTTCTTCTGTCTCTCAACATCCACATTACTCCTGAGCCGCCACACACTCCAACACTAGTTGCCTTTCGCAGAAACCTACGCTTTCTCTCACCCAATAGACTATCCACCATTGTTTCAGACTCTCTTCCTCCACCTTGCAAAATCTCTACACAGGATACTAACTGTGCAACTGATACACTCTGCTCCACACTAGCATCAT